GCAAAAAGAAAAACAGAACTCAGAAGTCGAAAAAGCTCTCAGAAAAAGGAAAATGCGACCTCCGAAAACAAAAACTCGAAACGGGGTTTTCCTGGGGTTGGTGTGATATAAGCAAAAGAAAGGGTACGAAAAATGGCACGGGGTCGGGAAGTGGTTCGTCACAAGTAGGGCACACCTCTTGGTTGGACATTCCCTACAAGGCACCCCTGCCCGCCATAGGACTGCCACAGTATCCCCATGCACCCAAACAGCCCCTTACCACTCTGTGGCCCGAGAGAGTAGCATCCATCCCACATCAACTCTCCCGCAGGAAAGGCACACGTCCCCACCCAAATCCGTCCAGAAGATCATCCCTAGCTGATATGACAAACAGTATATATAGACATGCTGAATGAGCATAGTATGGAGTTGAACCCTGGGACCTCCAAGTTACAATATTAGAGCTCTACCCACTGAGCTATTGAGGTGATTAGTCTGTAAGGGCGCTATGCCAGGCTCGGGACAAGTACGGGGGGTGCAACCTACACAACCAATTATGCTTGGAGGAAATTGTGGGCCGACAAAGTAGAACCCGCAACCTCCCTGTTGCAACACCTGAGCTCTGCCCACTGAGCTACCACGCACTTGCTTACCAACTGGCCGTCTCGAAGGTAAGACGCCAAGCATGCCACAGGCACTATCGTGGGGGCAATGGGAGTTGAACCCACAACCTCCTGAGTGCCACTTGAATGCCTTACCAACTGAGCTACACCCAGTTGGCAACCACTTCCATGCCTTACCCACTGAGCTGGCTGCTGGATGCATCAAGTTTTTCACCACCCAGGCAAGTGGGCAACCTTTGTTTTTCTTTTTTCTTTTTTTTAAATCCCTTGGCAGTGCTAAAGGTGCATGTTCTCTCGTTGGTTGGAGGCTTGAGCACGGATGTGGCTGCTACGGGGTTCCCCATTATAATATAATGGCAATAAAAAAGGGCTGAAAGGCCGTCCTGTCCAGATTGGACAGGTAATTGAATTGGTTGGGCTCCACTAGTACCTCCGAGCCTGTTTTTGCCGACCCTGAATTTCACTGCGCTCCAAGTTTGCCAAGCCTGGGTACCACTCCGTTTTTTTTTGTTTGTTTTTTTTCAAAGGCTAATTCTTTAAGCCCAACCAATTCAATTACCTGTCAAATCTGGACAGGACGGCCTTTCAGACCTTTTTTATTGTCACTATAGTATTACGGGGAAACCCGTAGCAGCCACATCCGTGCTCAAGCCTCCAACGAGGGAACATGGGGGAGCTGCACCCACCAGCAGGTGCGATACCTGCTACAGCAGGTGGCCGATACCGGCCAGGGGTCAGCCGGTAACATCAGGACCGAGCTTCTTCGATGGGCCAGTCACTGTGCCTCCCCTCCGGTCCCCTCCCCCTATGAACATCAGCAGTCTCTGCTCAATGCCACTCGGGGGGACCAACGGCATATCTCTAGGTGGCGGGCGCCAGCTTGCCCAGGAAGGTACATGAGGCCAATGGGGATTGAACCCAAGACCTCCTGAATGCCACTTGCGTGCCTTACCAACTGAGCTAGGCCGCTGGATGACTCCGTTTTCTTTCTGGTACTCTCACGGAAAGAGCAAAAAAAAAAGAAGAAGAAGAAGAAAAGTTGCAGCCGTGAACTCAGAAAAAAAGAAAAAGAAAAAAAACGAAACAAAGCTTTGGCCGTGATTGCAGTTGTATACGTTCTTGGAAGTGGTAGTGTGAGTGTGCCCTCAGTGAGGGCATCTCAGCCCGGTAGCCAGGTTGTCAGATTTGAAAAAGAGAATAGAAAGGGAAAAAAGGGGCACACGGATCCCGCTGTGAAAATGGCTGGATACATTCCCCTTAGTACCAGTGTGACCAGTGTTGTAATCCTCTGACAAAACACAGCTTGAGCAGATCACGGACGGCTTGAGCAATTCACAGATTCCCCCCTGCCTCATTGGCAGGGGACTTGCAAGAAACACACGAGCAAGAAAAAAAAAGAAAACAGTAACATCCAGAATGTGACCGCCTTACCGGTGAGGTGCATTCTGTGGAGGAAGACTCTGAGC